AACATGCTAACTTACGAGCATTAAACACGTCCAGCTTCATATCACACAGAAATAAAATATTTCTCTAAGAGAAATCGCGACCATAAAACACATACTTTTCATTAATTAAACATTGTATATGACAAGATGACGTTCCAGTATTTCTCTTTCTCAATTATTCACTCCCTAATGTCTTGTGAGATAACATTTTTATTAAAGTAAAGAACGACACATATTTTATTGAACACCACACGTTTATTAAACTTTCATTTTAAAAAAATGTAATAAATCAATTTAGACTTGGACCAACATGTCAACATAATCGTAATCAAAGCTAAAGTTCAATAAAACTAAGGTAAGATATGAACAAAAGAAAGATTTACAAAACATCCTCTATCATATAACTTCTATTAAAAAAAAAAAAAAAAAACAAGAATTCTAGCTTGAAAGTTAATAAAACAAAGAGTCAGTCATTGCCAGATGTTTATTGGAGTTATTTTCGTTTTATGTATACCCAATACATGGACATGAAACATCCCTTATGTGTACCGGTAACACACACGGTATACAAATGCACTTGCGACAGAGCTTTACCAGCGACACGCTTCGAGAGAGACTGCTTTGTGGTGAATTTGCTTTGACATGCAAATATATTGCTGTGAGCGCTCGATATAAAAATAATGTTTGGCAAATATTCAAATTGTATTTATATTTTTAATGTTTGTTCACATTTCTATGGAGTACGCATTTTATTCGTTAATGGATGATATGAGTAATGCGTTTTACTATATTGATTTGTGAAATACAACTGACAAAGGAACATATTAACAACAACAATGTAATGCTGCTTACTTGGGATAAGAATAAAACGAAATGATCATTTAAAGAGGAGCTTTTTGAATTCAATCAAACCTAATATTACGTCACAAACAGTTTACATGTCTCATATTTACAACTAGTTTTAAAATTGAATAAAGATCCCTGACACAAAACATTCAATATATTTGTTATCATTATTATATTCTACATGAAATAAATAATTTGATATATTATAATCAGATTTGATTTACATGTGACAATTTGAAACAGGAAGTGACAAAATGTGACGAGATGGACAGACAATGACTAGAGTGGCAAAATGTGACAGAATAGATAATTGTAACTTTATCCTACCACTGCAACTAATTGCACAACTGGGTATGACATAACATTCACAGTAATCAATTATTCAGGCATCTATCTAATCATGTGACAAACTTATAAACAGGTGACAATCGGTCACATTACATAATGCGACTAACAGTTAACCAGAGTAACTATAGCATCTGTAAATAAAAGATGACAATATAACCAAACATACTCATGTATACTCTGACGTATGACACGAAGTGACTAGACCCGTGACTAGACACACATCATATGACTTTACCTAACTACAAACTAGATTTCCCTTTTACCTTTTACCTTTATGATAAGTTAAACTTTAAAAAACTCCTAACATTTAACTGTAACAATATCAATAATTGGCAACGCTATAAGAATCAATATACAAAATAATTACATACATGGAATTATTTTAAAACAAAATTACACCATAATCTTAAAGTTTATCAATATAACCTCAATTTACCATTGTTTTCCATTTATAATCAATGACGGTATAAATGGCATTGACATTTATACTTGAAACCAATTAAATTCATAAGCAACACTACTTATTACCTGTATACTAAGGTAAACTCTTATTGTTACCGTCTTACTATTACGTAAGCTAATTATAGATCTGAGCGTATGAAGGAAAAGAAATCGAATGCCTCGACACGCATTCCTAACTCTGGAAGACATGACAGTATTTTAACACTACGCGAGGTTGGATATCAACAAAATACAAGAATCAGTGGTCAGTATTGCCAAACATTAAAACCCGACATGGATGGAATCACCTGCTCTGCGGGTAGTATCAATTCAGGATGGGGTAAGCAGATCAATAAGTACAATCTAATAAGATCTTACCTGACCAATCCAGTCTTTGCTGTTACTGTGACTCCTGTGATAGCCCCTTAGCAGACTGAAACCCACTAACCACTTCTTTACAATACAATTGCTTCTATAGTTCGCCAATCCATGGACGAACTGTTTATTCCTTGCGTGGAACAACAAAGGTGAACACTGCGCTTACTGACAGGTGAGCGAAGAGCTGGATCAATACGACATACACTACTCTCACAGTGTCAGACAGCTAACAACATCGAGCCTACTGCTGTGAAAATATGCAAAAAAAAAAGACAAAACAAAACAAAACAAAACGTCCACCACGTCGGCATCAACAAGGATGGCATTATAACCCATTTATATTGATGATGAAACGATGATGATGATGATGATGATGATGATGATGATGATGATGATGATGATGTGGAAAATGAATGTTGATGAAACACGATGATGATGATGATGATGATGATGATGATGATGATGATGATGATGATGATGATGATGATGTGTAAATGAATTAATGATGATGATGATAATGATGATGATGATGATGATGATGATGATGATGTAAAAATGAACGAGGTGAAACATGATGATGTTGTCGATGTGGAAAATAAATGATGATGATGATGTTAATGCGGAAAATGAATGATGACGAAACATGATGATGATGTTGATGTGGAAAATAAATGAATTATGATGATGATGATGATGATGATGATGATGATGATGATGATGATGATGATGATGATGATGATGATGATGTGGAAAATGAATGTTGATGAAAATAATGAAACATGATTATGATAATAATGATGCTGATATGGAATATAAATGATGGTGAAATATGATGATTATGTTGATGTGCAAAATGGATGATGATGAAACATGATGATGATGATGATAATGTTGAATATGTGGAAAATGAATGATGATGGTGGTAGTGGTGATGATGATGATGATGTGGAAAAGGAATGATGATGAATTATGATGACGACGAAAATGATTGCAGGATTTCAGAGAAGACATTCAACTCTACATCAACTTATAAAGATATTTCATCAGATTTAGCAAATAACCATCCTGCATGTTTGCATTGTTTCATTTTAGATTTCAAGCGGCAAATTATTTAAAGAATGAATAGACCTTATTGATTTCACCCACTCAGAAAGTCACAACACGCCAGGTTCTCCTGTTATCCATTCTTTTGCATAGTTTTTAGCAGAATCCATTGAAATCTTGAGTTTTATATTCCGGACGTGGTTTCACGACATGTAGGACAATTCATGTAAATATATCGTAGCTTAAGAGCTATTATGTGCTCAGTTGGACTATACTTAAAATTAGAGGTAGTACCATGACATGTGTCTAAAAATTAAATACCACTAACTTTCAAAGACATCGAATTTAATGGGATTGGTACATTAATGTTGCTATACATGACAACCCTGCAACTAGAATTTATAATTAATTTATGAAATGTTATTAATGTAATTAGTAATAATTAATGTAGTAAATGTTTTTTTTTATTTGATTAATGCAGAGTTTTCGTTTTTTTAATTATCACTGATTTTGCCTATAATGATTTCGTATGTTCACATCGCCTGAACAAGATTTATATGAAAATATTAACCAACATATGGTGTTCCTATGATGTAACCTTACGAAATTCAGTTGTACATTACCAGCTCATGAACTGCCAAAGGCCGGGGATTATCGCAAGTAATGTAAAAAGATCGAAGTTTCTGTTGACATGTTGGCATGTCTTCTTTTCCCCTTCCCTCATGAGAAGACGAGAATTGACAAGGATAAATACATTTGTATAAATATTGAACCGTTTTCATATGTCATTCAATGAAATAAATATCAACAGAAAAAGGACACATTAAACACAAAGCGCTGTTTTATATATATATATATTATTGATTGAGTACGCATGTCTGCAAATTAATATATATGCCCATCATAGAGTCAAATGATATGTGTTGGGTGTATCTCTGAACGCCAACATTTTAAATTTTCTTACAGGAATATTTGTTTGTTTGGTTGTTATATTTGTTTAGGAATTATAGTATTTTTCCTGTCATTTACAACGGATCAATAAACATGTAAAAATTACCTATTGGTACTTTGTCACCGTAGTTGTATACCTGTATGTTTTAGTTTGAAATTCTAATAGCCATGATACTTTTTGTAAACTATTTGTTTTTCGTAATTATCAAGGGATTGATTTACAAGATTCTCATTAAATAAATTCCATTCACTGCTAATATGTATTACAGTATTATTTTAATTACTTTAGAGGGGTGCATGTGGTTTGGATATTTGTATCACATCTATAAAGTATGCAGAGAAAACATGATATAATATACACAATTTCATGCAGATACATATTCATTTTATGACAATTGCCCTCATAAATTAAAATTTCCTTTTTTCAATACTTTAGCAGTTCATTGTTCTTTTTAATCTGAAATGCTTTTTGGACTTGTTTGGTAAAATGTATCTACTCAGTAAGTATCATTTTCTATGTTCAGTTAGCTCTTCAGTTGATAATGAAATTCATCCTCTTATATTTAAGCTATACGTAAAAAATATTTTGCTGAATTCTGAATATTGAATACTATATTAGACGTAATATCTTGATACATATTGATATTTTAAATTTGATTTAATATCAAATTGTTAAAACACACCCCCCCCACACGCACGCACGCACGCACGCACGCACTCACGCACGCACGCACGCACGCACACACACACACGAATAACATATTTCATATCTTATTCATGTTGTGTCTATAAATATCTGTAACATATTTTTTTTCAAGTTAATTGCACAGCATAGCATTAACATCATATTGTTATTTCCTCAGGTTATCAAGGTGCAAAATCAGTTTATGAAATTAAACAAATTAAACGCAATACGTTGTTGCTTTAGAGTAACGGTCTACTGAATTATGTCCAAATACGACGTTTTACACATGTATTTTTACTTTACAGCCTTCATAAATCCATGATAAGGTTTAGTTATTACGTCTAAAATTTGTATTAAGGTAATAGTTTTCGTAGCAGGTTGAGACCTGCCTCCCTGTAACAGAGAATTTCTTAACATTAGTCTTAACTATATTAGGGTGAGACCAGAACAGTTGGAATCCCTGATCGTTTATACCACGTAACGTTGTAACTTTCGATCGTAACTTTTCGTTTGGATTGGGGTCGCTATGGAATTCAAAAAACAGTTGTCGAACGTTTTTCAACACTCCAGTGGCTAACATATTTGGAATAGCTTGCCATTCCGATCCTTCTATGTCCATTTTAACGATATCAATGGTTTTCTGAAAGACAACACAAACAACATGTATTTTGACATGATTTTCAATTATATACATCAATTATGCAAAAATGAACGATGCAAACACGACTTAATCAGTATACTCTGCAACTATGATTCTCTCAAAAATTGAACATATTAACACCTTGATCGCAATGCTTAAGCGTTGTCTGTATGTCTAGAACAGCAAATAGCCTCCTCATCAGGTCATATTACTATCAATATTACCGCATCAATTATTTCATTCAATATAATCTCCATCATGTACAAGTTACATCTTGAAAAAAAAAAAAAAAAAATAAGGAATCTTACCTCGGTGTGTCCAAGCATTTCAATAATCTCCTTCAGGTTCATCATGTTCCATTTCCTTAGCTTTCCTTTTGGCTTGCCCCAAAGTCCGAGATTATGAAAGGAGATTTTATTTGATCGCTGATGATCTACTTTTCCAATACTTTAACAGATAAAAAAGAATCAAATGTATTTACATGATTTTAGAAAGAAACATGGCAATACATTACAGTGCAAAAAACAGGTATACCATAGTTAAACAGTTTGCTTGTTAATATGTTTTATGATATTCTTATGATCTCGCCATGCGTATATTGGTGTTTATTCATTTTGCGAACAAAAACGCGTTACGTAGAAATATTCCAACTCATGCAAAATGCACGAGGCATTAGGTATATGTAGAGTTACAACAGAATATGTCGCTATATAATGATAAGTAGATATTGATAACATAATAAATAAACATAATGATATATCATAATACAGAACTGAAAACATATACCGACCACGTCTAAATTTTATGGAAAATAAACATTTAAATTTAGGTTAGATTTAGATCATGTTTTTCCTTGCGTTTGATTTCGGACAAGAATTGTAATACTTATAATCATATCACTCTCTGAGAAAAATTGATAAAGATTATCAAATTCAAACTAAAGCGAGTCGACACTCGCTGCTGTGACTACCACCAATCGCTGTTTTGAGATAGCCGAATATGTCACGTGACCTTTTGGAGCCCCTTTTTACCACGCCGTTTTGATATTATTTCTTACTGTGTATAATTATGTAACTGGCCAAAATTTGATTTGCAAGCAATGTTTCAATTCTTATTTTGTAAGCTGACCTCTTGTTTCAAGATATACGCGAATTAGAATTAATCTGAATCTAAACTTACATGCGCAATGACATTGTTTAAACTCTCCAAACGATAATGTTGTGAGTCAGTTTTAGGTCGCTCCTATTTCATTAAAATTTTTTGACGTTGTCATTTAAATGGTTATGCAAACTTTAAACACATAATTAACAGAAAGTACGAATTTTTTATACAGATTTCAAAATTATATAATGTTTTTTATCTCATTGACCATCTTCACAATGTATTGGAATGTTAATTAGTGTTTTTACTGATTTTACGAAAAGGGAATTTGTTTATTCAATGGAAAAATATATGATTACAGTTTTTACAACATATCCTGACTATCAATATGATAACATAATCTTCAAAATAAATGTATAACAGTTTTCGTTTCAGAGTTACAGAGATTGCAGAGTGGACCATCTATTGTCTTTGTTTTTGAAAAGAAATGAGTTTGTTGTCAAAATAGTTTTAGTCGGATTTGTGAAAGCGGTGCTTTCATGTAACCAGTTTTCAATATTGGAATCAGAATGTGTTCTTTTTTCTTTGCTACTGAGAGTTTTCGTTGTGCTTAACAAATCATAAAATGCTTAAGCAATGTCTCAGTATCTAGGTAGAAATAAGCGGATAACGAATTAAACACTGCCGATAGTATTCCGCTCTACATTCAGAAAATCAATATAAAGATATATTTTTAAATAAATTTTTCATGACAATTTTTTTAATAACGTCCATCAGTATTATATATCTGTCTTTTATCTGACAAAAAATCACCACTAATAGTAATCTTATCATTGTGCCATATAAGTGTTTGCTGGAGAATTTCTAAACATTCGAATACTTGATCATAATTAATTTCAAACAGTTATCGAAATAACATCTACATGCTGCAGTTTTAATGAAACGTGACAAGTTTTACACCAAATCGGGACCTTTCGTCTTCCTCTGTATAAGAGACGATGCATTTCTTGTTCACAGAAAGTGACGAAAGTTCCCGAAGCTTGAACCGGAAGTTAGGTACATCGGAGAACAAACGTGCTCTAATCATAAACAGTCAACGAGATATTTGTTAAACCATTAACGAATATGTTTGTTAAATTCATTTGAATTATACAAGACTTTTCGTATGATTTTATTTCCACATGAAAGTTTAAAAAGATATTCTGTCGGTCAAAATTATTTTTAATCCATTTAAAGGGTCGATTGTTCACATTGCGTGTTGCAGTACGTGTATTGTGGGTAATGAAGTTCCAGTCACACTTCCGTTTAAACTTGATCGCATTTGCATCTTAAACTTGTTGATTTTCAACGATCACACACAATATCATAAAGTATTTTAGATTATAAAATTTATTGAATTATGGTAAATACAAATTCACCATTAGGATTGTCGCTTTTTTGTGCATTTTCTATATTGGTTACCTTGGATCAAAAGAATGAACTTCACATCCATAAATCCTAGAGATTTCGTCATCAAACGACCAGTCTCCGGCAATTCCAAAAGAGTAGACGATGCAAGGTGACAAGGGTCTGTACTCACTGCCATTACAAACATCCCATCCTCCGTCATCCACATCACCAATGCGGACCACTTCCTTACAGTGTGCTTGTGATGACATCAGCAAACTGTTTAAGCATATACATTGATAATATGTCACAAACATTCTGTTTCTTTCCAATTTCCTTGTCGAATTTTTAGGTTCTACAGTGAAATAATTGAAATGAATATGTTTGAATCTGTGATTCAGATTACAATATTTGTATTTGTATTTATCAGAATTCACTGCAGTACTTTTATTCATGAGGGTAGGAACAACTATTCTGGTAAGAATCGTGAAAAGAAAATGCCTTGCATTCATCTTGATTGATTTGAATTATTCATTAGTGTCGCACGTGCTTATTTGGTTAACTTTGTGATTGATTATTTGTGATGAAAATGTGTAAACTATATCATTTTGTAAAGGAAGAAAATTGCAGTATTTAAACAGATAAAAAAAGAGATAAAGACGGAAAATTTAAATATTAATCACATGTGACATTATACACAGCATGCGTATTTTTGGAAAAAATATCACTGTTTATACCTAAGGAATCAAAACAATATTCAAACATCTCCAACATAACTCGGAAAACTTATGCGTTTTAAATATTAAAAAAAAACTTGAGTTTGAAATTCACATAATTTCATCAATACAGACTGATGTGATATATAATATGCATTCATTCTGGTTGTGTATTATATTTATTTGATACGAAATACCATGTTTTTCTCAACAGAGCATCATGTCATGGTACATTTGTGTTCTAATGGCATAGATCTCGTTAGTCTGTAAATCGATATGTAAAAATTAGTTGATCCCCTTTCAGAAAAAAAATATGAAATGCTAGCAATTATGTATATTTATTAAAATGAATTCGCCTTGTAATTCAAAACTTAACCAGTGCTGAATACATGTAGCATTGCAAATGTTGAGTCGATATATACACTGCCTCCCCTTACTGTCACTTCGGTCACAGTATAATAAAATAAAGAACTTTCTTAATTTCCTCGGTATTAATGAACCAAGAATATAGCTTAATGTGTCACGTTTAATATTAACATAAGAAATAGATAAATAAGTAAATAAATAAATCATCAGCATTAAATCAGTCTAACAACGTTCAGCAGAAAGCACTTTAGTTCTCACCTATTATAGACAACAGCTAAATCTCTGAGCGATCGGGTCTTTATAGTTTCTAAGTCATCCACTACAATAGGACTTTTTACCGGCATTTGTCGCATCTGGAAAATAATGAAATAACCGATGTTCCCGTGATAAGAATTATACTTTTACATTTGTGTCTTTATTAAACTCTCACATGAAACAAAATGTGTTTGAAAAAAATGTGTCCCGAGGGGAAGCCATTCATGAGCGTTTAACCGAAAGTTGTTTTTTGCGGAGTGTGGTGCAATCAAGGGAAAGGTACTTGTAAATGCATGAGCTTAACAGCAAAGCATGTCTCAGGACTTTATCATTCGGCCTGTTCAGTATCATAGATTGTACATGGTATTGTCCATATAAGAGACCCAAAAACATGACATTATTTTGATTGAAGTGGTATTGAATAGTTGGTAATATACAAATTCACCGTATAAAGATCATAGGAATTAGAACGATTATGAAATACAATAGTAGCTCCAGAATGTTAATGCATATGGAATTTAATGCGATACTAGTATGCAAACATAATGAATAAAACAGGGCTATGGGACTTAACGGCCACCCGATTATCTTCAGTAAAATACTGTAGTATTACCGATGCTAGTAGAAACTTATATGAAATATATTTAGATTGTTATTTCAACAGTGTATTGCTGATATCGTTCTCAGTATTCCTTTGAATTATCAACGAAACGGAGACAAATGTGTCAAAACAATGCGTGATTCTATATATGCCCAGTCCTAAGTTTGATGCCATCCATTAAACTAAACAAAGGGCATAAAATGTGTTTTCCCTCCAAGTAACAGTCAAGATAACACTCTAAAAGTCCAGTTCGACAAAAACATCCATATATATATATATAAAAGAACCATCCAAGCCTTGGTTTAGGCAAATTTTAATCCATATTGTCAAAATGTTGCTGTAATCTCTGTATATGGTGTCTAAACAGACTGGATACTAGTTCAGCAGTCTTCTCTTTTTCTGATAAGAGGACAACAAATTTGAAGTGTTATTTTCTTCACAATGACGGCTATTGCAATCATCATGGAATCCAGACCGACATAAAAAGTAATACTACTCAGTCTGGAGCTTGCTAGGATCATTCGAGACATGTTTAAGGAAAAAGGAACATGATTAGAACTTTTAAAGAGAAAATTGCGACTTGGTAGGGATATTAACGGAGGAAAGGGGAGGGAAAAGGGAATTTTGTAATTGTCATACTGGTTAGAATTTAGACGTTAAACAAACGGCGACCATTTTGCAACATGATTCTTGAATCATGATTTTCAAAAAGAACATGCAATTCAAGCTCTAAGTGAAAAATGTAAGGTAGTTAAGTACGCCTGGCAATGGATGAACCTCAGTCGATATTATAAACCAAAAAATACCATTCAGTCGTAATGACGTGTGAGGTTCTTGTTTAAAAAGAACTAACTTATGTCGGCAAACAATAATATAGATACCATGTAAAGAGAATAGCATCCAGTTTTTCTTCTGTTTTTAAATAAACAGTTGCCATTGATATTTCTTGCAAAGTGAAAGGTTCTGAATCCCTCTTTGAAAAGGGCACGTAGAACTTTGAGATGTTCGACGTAGTCGGATTTTCTGCTGTTAGCAGTGATCCCATGAAAGTTTACTAAGAGTTGGTGAACGTTTCGCAGCAGATTCTGTGTTAACATCCAATCCAGTAACTGAGCCTCGCCTCCACCTATATCAATCGCCATGAAATCAACATCGCTCTGTAGAAGTAGATATGTAGTTATTATAATGTTATTTGATTGTCACAATAAAGGTATCATGTGGCTTTCAACAGATGTCTTTCAACATTCGTTTTCTCAGGTAAGTCATTATATCATACAATGTCATAATGGTTTATGGTTATCGTATCACCCATAGCGGGATGAAAAAAAAACAACATATGTAGCCTTCATTTAAAGATATTTTGGGAATGAATATGCATTCTTTTGTTTTGAAGAAGGAAATTTTTATTCCTTCATGATAATAATCAAGAAATGAACAAAAAGAAAAAATAAGCTTTTTTTTTTTTACACTATTTGCCTATTCAATTCACTATTATTATAGTCTGTAAGATTTAATAATAGACAAACAAATTTTAAAGCACATTCTGAAATTCTTCTCAAATTAATATTAAAAGTATCGCCAAATGATTAATATATCTGCATTAATCAGTTGTTCTATCCTTCAACAAGTCGTCCGAGATGATAAATTTGAAACAAGCAATGAGAAGAATCTTTACTGTTTTAAAATATCGACGACAAGGTTCCATTACCCGAAATTCACTCATGTGCTTAAACTTAAAAATTATCAAAATTGTATATTTTGAATTCTGGAAATCATGAAAGGATACGATTTGCCGATAAGATATCTTCAGATTCCGATTCAATATCTCTAGTCCAAATTACGCTGCCGAAGAGCTTGTAAAAGTATACATTCTCATGTAAACGCTGTGTAGTTTATTTTTCTATGCAAGATCTATACAGTCCTTCTAATCGAGCTGAAACGTTTTTTCTTATTAGATATAAATAAACACATAAAAGTTAAGGTTCGGGGACCACATGTTCATAAATAATTTTGGTATCACTTCAGTGTTTATTCAGTCCGATCTTCAATGTTTTTGTATATGTGTGGCTTGTCGCCACTTACCTTTGCTTTCAGCGCTGCAACATCAGAATTCTTTTCTGGTATGGGAGACGCTTGTGCAGTTGACAATGAACTGTAAATATTGCATTTCAGTTATGAATTATACACAAATAGAAACTACTACTCGGTAAAAAAAAATGTGTTAAAGATTGAAATGCTGTTTGTAATATTTCATGTTAATCACGACTCGCCTGTTACCTATAAAAGGAACAGAGAAACCTTTTAGGAAAGGAATGTTTATTTTTGTTCTGTTTCGGCCTTCGCCAAAATCAACCATGGCGATTTGTTGCTGAACTTTATACATTTTTTAATGATTGGGTATGGCATTTGGTTATTAACATTCAATTATGGTAAGAACTAGACATTTCAAACATGACAGCTAGTTATGTATACAAACATACGCACAGTGTTAATACCAAAGTGCAAAGTCGTTTATTATCACCTTCAGATATATTGATGACGTCTTGTCTTTAAATAACAAGAAATTAATTGACTACGTCCATCATATATACCCAACAGAAGTGGAAATCAAGGATAAATATAAGCTGCTTATCTCATTTTGTTCCTACAATGAAACCAACATTGACAGCTTTACACCAAGCTGTATGATAAACGTGATGATTTCAATTTCCCGATTGTGAATTTTCCATTTCTGGATAGCAACCCTGCATCTCCAACCTTTGATAATTACACATCACAGTTGATTCTTTATTCAATGAATGGATTATGATTATGTTGCCAAGTTTTCGAACATATCTATACCATTATAGTGTTCAACATTTAAACATACATATGTCATTTATCTATGACAATTATATATAAATATATATATATATGCGAATACTAAAGACACGCATAAGTGTATTGGAAATTATTTGACCTTAGACACGATTACATATAAAAACGTTTTCCATAACTCATTTATCCCATAACTACGTCTGTTTCACAACTGATATGCTATGTAATCAACTTCGTAGCAGTTTGGTATTGTTTTTGTTGACACATAGCATTGTGTAATCACTTTCAAAGCATCCGATTGGTCGTCTCTGACCTTCTAAATTTTAACCTCTGAACAATGACATAGGGTCCCACAGTACATTAAAACAAATACAAATATCAAATAATCTAACAAACTGTAGTTGGTTATGTCTTCCATGGCAGAGAAAGCATGTAAATGTAATGTTAACGTTATAGAAAGAAAAGTTGTCTCCCTTCGTCCATCCTGTGATCTATATAAAGTAACACTGTCGATTTGTTTTCCCGTGATATTTTTACAATTCATGCTGATGGTTCAGATTATGCTTTTACATTGATCTCAAAGACAAATGAGAAACTGTGAAGCCTTTGACTATCCATTCGGCGAGGAAAAGTCGTACTCATTTGAAAAGTTACACAGAATCTGAAATATGATACCTATACTCAAGCTTGCATGGACTAGGCCTAGTATATCGTGTCAACATAAAATGGAAATAACCACTAATCTAATCATTTGTCCTTTATTGCAAATTTATATCCGAAACACAAAATTATAAAATTCCATTTTGGAACACTTGTCTTGTGCCAATAAGCTGATAAAATGACCCTATGCTCACAAATATCTGCATGACCCGTTTTATATTACGTTGATGGCTTATTTCATATCTTATTGTATAGAGCAAATTTCAGGATACAAAAATTTGCTTAGTGTCAATGCATCTCGACGTTGATCTCCCGTCAATGATACAAAAGTTCCAACGACATATGTCAGCGACCCGTGTGTCAACAACACAGTGCCATGTCAGTAACGTTAGCTTATAACTCTAACTCAAGTTCGGTTTACCAGAAATCTGTTGAAAAAATTCTACCCAGCGGTGTCTTGAATGGAAAATATCTTTCAGAGAACTTTTGATATCGCTATCACAATAATTACACACCTTCTTTAACAAGGAAACAACCGATAACTGAATATTGCATTTATTAGCTTAATATTCAGATGTCAAAGCTTTGACGTTCGACCTTGTGATGTCACGTCATTCATTGCACGGGGTGATTGAAATTAGTATTCTATTTATAAAACAAACAAACAAACAAACAAATATACGGTTTATTTTTTTATCCTAATATATCCTTTTAACAGTTATGTTGTGCACAGATGTATTACCATGATCATCAATTGTGATACGGTTAAGAGATTTTTGTGACTGCATTTGGAGAATTTGAACTCTGTACATTTTTTATGTTTATAAAGCTATAGGATAAACAAGTTCTTCAACACGTAACGGTTGTTTACCAAGTGTATCTAACTCTCGTTAGTTAATTTTCAAATTTAGATAAAGCACTCGCTAAAGCTTGTGTCTTTCCTACATTTGAAAATTATCTTACTCGATTAAAAAAAAATAAACTGTCACAGCTTTAGGAACCTCTATATATGTCACACGCGCACATTTCTTGTCTTTCCGTGTATAGGATATGTAATGGTGAATTCAACTTTGTTTCAAGTTATCAGGCATGCATACTCAGTGAATCATTCATAAGATATACCACCTTTTCGTTATCACATTTCGCCCGCAATTGTAGTCTTGCTTGAGTTCTTCAAAGAAGCTCTTGGTGACGTTTTTATCGCTGTAAGGACATCATGAACGATATAAAGCATTACCAAAGATTTCTCTTGTTATATTGTTCTCTATGTGACCAGTAACGAATACTGTGAATCAATATGGAAATTACATTTATTCAAAGAAATCTAGTATTAACGAATACTGTGAATCAATATGGAAATTACATTTATTCAAAGAAATCTAGACGAGATACATTAAAAACAAATGGTACAATAGTAAGCTACGATATGATATGATGAGTGTGTTTCCATAATACACGAACATTTGATCACATACATAAAGTCAAATCTTGTATTACTTTTGTCATCTTGAAACAGTGGTTTAAATAACATCAATTTACAATAAGTTGAGTTTGTTAAACTTACGTTATCATATAGGCCGCACATTGTTTGGAGTTGCTTCCCCTGATTGTATCACATGTATACCAACCTTCTCGCACTCCGCCGTATACTTTCTTTACAGGACAGAACACTTGAAGCGTGTTCATATACCTGATAATTAAAAAAAAAACCCAGTAACGGTTTAAAATCATCTTTGCATCGTGTCGTTTATAGAAGTAAGAATTAATATCATTCGAAACAGTATATATAGTTATAGATTTCAGGAAGCATACAATGTATTCCTCTAAAGGGTTGTCGTTTATAGAAGTAAGAATTAATATCATTCGAAACAGTATATATAGTTATAGATTTCAGGAAGTATACAATGTATTCCTCTAAAGGATTGTTACATTTTTGTCTACTGGTGTTCATTGTAGATTTCATTTCCAAATTCTCAGATTTTTAAGAGCTATCGTACAGCAAAACATTTTTAAAAACTTGCACAAAAACTTCAGATGAAATATACTTACTACCTAAACCCAATGTCGACTAAGGAAAATCCAAAATGACACAAAAAATCTTACAATTTAGATTGGGAGGTGCATTAGCCTGATAGTTCAGTAAATTGTGATAAATTTCATGTGTTAGACAATTTAAAAAAAAAAAAAGACAAAAACTTGACTTCACCAACAAAACGCCAACTACCAGTTCTAATTCCAAGTTTGAATCATCAACAATCAGCCGACGATAAATAAAATAAAGCAACATAGAAAAGACTACTTAAATTAGTTGTTACATTAAGAGTTTTATCTATTTATCTTTATTTTCAATACAGGTCCTTGTCTGTTTCTTTCATTAAACTAAGTGCCGTTTTAATTTTTGTTAATGTCTAAAAACTAGGAACCGTAACCCGAAAACAAAATCGATAAAACTATGGAAAATCATTAACAGAATGGAGATTAACGGGAAATCCTTCAACACGCACAAAGAGGATTAGAGAGTATAATTATGAATGGTAAGCATCGTAATCGACGGCATTCACCATACTAATCTTGTTAATGCATGTTCTCAATTAAGAATCAAGTTAAGATCAACAAAACACCAGGTTCACTATTGGGCATGGATACATTAAAGTTCATACCACACAAAGAAATTTATTGACATCACTGTGGCGACTAAAACATAGTTCCATGGTATAAACCTCCTTTCTTTTTCGAACCTCTCCTCTGTCGACCTTTTATGGGGAAAGTCACGATATTGTCAACAAGCCTTTTAATATTCAATCAACAGCTATGTAAAACTCATGTGTGGCTTATGATACAACTTGGTGGGAAATTGTCTCTGTTGGTTTTGCTGCAGTGACATTTATAGTTAAAATATAAAAACGTCATATACTTTAGATGGAAAAGATGAATGGATCGCTTGCTATAGAAAGCCATGACAACACCATTTCTATAAATTCGGTCTCATATAAAAACAAGGACAGCTGTCCTTCTGTATATTTGTGATAACCAGGTGTGTGAATAGTTATACAGAGAAATGTATGAAACATGTTACGTAATAAGAGATCAATAGCTGCTTTCATAATAGAGACTGAATGAGGCAGTTTCCTGATAAGATGTTAAACAACATTTAAATGCAAAGTATTCCATAAAATACAAGAAATATTTCCTTAAGAATTCTGAAAGCGGGGTATATCTTTATGTATTTTCAAGCTCACAAGGATACGTCAAAGTTCTGATGTTCTTTTGAAGAATCAATACAATTTTCTCATTAATACCTAAATAACTACAACATTTCATAAATGTATTAAGTATATGTTTGCGTATTCTCCATTCTCTAAATTTCATGCCTTTCTCGAGAGGTTATTTTCCCCTGCATACAAAAATAATTGAAAATTGTTCGGTAACGAAGGAAACTCTACCTAACAATTATCTCGCCTTCCCAAAGAGGAGATCTATGTATATACAGTAATTTTTCATTTTCAATGGAGCATTAAAATATGCAAAGTAAAGAGAATCACTAATATCCAGATTACATAAAGAGGGGCGTTACTGGGGTTTACCAAAAAACACATATGAATGTCTATTAATCTACCAATTTCGTATAATGATTAAGTTAAAAGTATACGACAAAAGAAACTTACTTGAAATAAAGACTTGATGTTTCGGCCAAGGTCATTTTTTGGAAGACATCAGCTTCTGGAATGATGTTCTATTGAAGAAAAATAAAGCAAATTATATATTTTGATTTGAAAAAAAAAATACATAAAAAAATCCCTTCCGTTTCACTTTATCAAATAAACCAAATATGAAATATATATCTGCTTGATTTAGCCGACTATCACCGTTAACCACGTGTCAGATAATCATGTATAAAAAGGCTTTCATGAAACGCACCAGAATTTCTTGTATTAGTGTAACGAGATATCGAGGCCTTCGTGGTGGTTATGAAATCTGATATGACATTTGCCTAAGGGTCATATCAAATTATCAAACTTGTCGTATAACTTTTTTTCATTTTACGTCGACACTCATCATGTTTGGCAACCCTATATGGAAATCTAGAGGTTGACTGTATTGTTTTATCAATCTGTTATTGTTTTACTGTTGTTTTTCCACGCACTATTTTTGTCGTCGTCAATATGGCTGTTCCATCAACATCGCAACACTAACGATTGAACGGGAAATTTGAATTTTAATTATTTCTAAAAATAAAAAAAAAAAAAAAAAAATGACAAAAATGTAAATAGAACCATTGAACGTCTGTAAGATTGCATTTATTGTCAATATGAATGCAATGTGGGTGACAGATAAATAGAATGACGTCCGTTACATTTTAGTCATTTTTTTATTTTTAGAAATAATTGAAATTCAAATTTCCCGCTCAATCGTGAAACAACAGTAAAACAATAACAGATTGATAAAACAATAAAGTTTGAAACTTTATTAGCTGACGAAGTGAATATGTTTAACACTTTCAACAATTACTATTTAACATCAGTACTGAAATCCAGAGAATTAAAATTTCACTACGCAGGTGTAAACCGTAGGCCTACCGTGCCGGTCCATTCATTCAGAAAAAATGGCGGCGTCACGCCACTTCGAGTTAAAAGTGAACGAACAGCGTGAAAATGATGAGCCGGCGAAGAAACTTGGGTGTAGCCGTATTGGTTTGGACATTTACATTCATGTTTTGTCTGAGTAAGTTTAAAGGAAGAGGATTATCGCTTGCAGAAAGAGACTCCGATGAAACACATGCTACGGTTTGGGAGGAAACAGCTTGTGGGGATCTCGAAACTGTCGCTGCGTGATCGGTAACTGGGGATCGCGAAACTCTCGCTGTGTGATCGGTAACTGGAAGTGTCAGGGTAAACAACGATACACTGAATGATTTTTTTTTCTGTGTTGTCGAAACTGTGCGGTTATAGGCCCGAAGCGAACTTTCAGATTTATGGGAGCTCATGAACATGATGTGTCTAGCCTGAAATCCTTGATCATTCAGGTTTTTCGATACTATTTGTATTTAGCCTACCACAGAAAAAATATTAATGCGCACTCTCTGAACTGCTTCTACAATACTGTGAATGCAATCCAGATTAATATAGACATAATGGGTGACCACAGAGCAAAATGTAAATATAAAGGATATGAGCCGAAGATAAATGAGTATAATTCATAAATTAAGTAAGTCTACTCTTCAGTGTACGATATATTTCTGCATTTTACCATGTGACATAACAATCTGTTGTTTGATATATAATAGTATTGTAAAATGAAAACAACAGGCACATAGGCCTGTATCGCTCACCTGGATATTAAAGCAATGACATATATGCCTCTTTTTAACCTCTTTGGTACAGCAAGACGAATGGGTAATTTCTTATAAGTTATAACATGACTGTGTTTCTTTTTTGATGCCCAGTAAAAGTTTAAATGGTTTCTTCAACTGTTTCAAACATATAGCCCAGGAACTTCGTCCCGATGGGGTACAGACACACACCAGGACAAATTTTGTCATTATCATTGAGTTTATCTCTTAATGCCCAGCAATCCCATATGCGGAGATCTCAACTCTTTAAAATAAATATCACCCAGAAACGAAGTCCCGTGGTGTTGGGCCATAATCCAGGACAAATTTTGACATTAGAATTGAGTTTAGCAATACTACATATAAATATGTTTCAAGGATTTCAACTGATTTAAAGATATACACCAGAAATTAAGTCCAGAGGAGTGACATCATGATTTAAATTATCTTTTGATCTCCAGCATTGTTATGTATGGTTATAGGGTATATAGAAGGGAAACTAAGAACTAAGTCCCTCGGGTGGGGTCAGATTCTAGGGCCGATTGTATTTACCACTTTATTCTCAGCAATGCCACACGTCTTGGGGTGGGGATCTCAACTGTTTCAAAAGTATAACCCATTTACCCTCTTAGCCTTCCCTAGAAGCAAGATCCGTCATTTAGACAAAATTGATTTCCCTCACTCAAACATCCTTCACACAAAATTTGGACAAAATCCAATCATCCCTACAAAAGTAGGATTTTAAAGAATATAATTTGATCCATTTTCCCTATTGAGCTCCACTCTACCCTGTTTGTACAAAATGGATTTCTCTTACTAAAACATCCTTCAGACCAACTGAGCTTAATAAATATAAATTACATGGTGCTTTCATTACGTCATTTGAATTCAATATGCGAATAAATTTCGTCTAGAATAAGTAGACAATGTACAGATTGAAGAAGGTTGACATTATATCTGATCCCCACGTATTGCATGCATTTCTTAAACACAAAGCTAAAAATAGGATAAAGTTTAAAGATTAAGGTGTGAAAGTCGCACAAATCTACAAAGTGTTATTTTCTGTCCATTGTGGGCCAAGGTTCTCGATGACACCGGAATAAAATTGTATATCATAGCAAAGTGATTTGACCCCAAGACTTGACAGTATTTATGTCATAAAATGCTGTGAGTGAACAGTGGATATAATTCTGGAATAATATTGGTCATAAGGTATATTTGATATCCTCTGAAAAAAGAATGCTTGTGCATAAGACTTTGCATGCACTTACGTCCTACCTAGACACGTGTAAAATTATATCAAAACATGCATAGAACATCTTCATTGGAGTTAAGTAAGAAGATTACTTTCATGGATAAAACTGCATCCGTGATGCTCATCTTAAAGATGTTAAGATGATGTTTGACTATCAGAGAGTGAGTGAGACATGGTGTTATTTACCTCAGTTGACGACATTCCGATTATAGACTTCTTGTGAACTAAGTAAAAAGCTCTCATTGCCGAACCAGTAAATTTGTGGAATCCAGTTCGTTGGTCTTTATACAAGATTACCATGGTACATACTACAATGATGATTAGGAGAATCTTCGTCCTTTTGGATCTCATCGTCGACAGTTTTGGAAAATACAATCTGTGGAAAAAATGATTAAAATTTTCGTGAAAATTACCTGGCAATAAAACATGAACGAACTGTTAGAAATGGGCATGAACAAAATGTTGGATATGAACTTATATTATATTGTCACGCTCTACGGAATGATTGTACAAAAGACACAAACGTGAATAGCATCTTTTAATAAGATATTAGATACAGTAGAACCTTCCAGCGAAGTGAACTGCACAGCTGTTTCTTCCTTCTAGGACTCGTCAAACGATAATTTGACGTACCACAGACCTCGATAATCCAGATATCTTCGTTCCCGGTCAAAAGTTTTCGGGATTTTCGGGGGGGGGGGGGGGGTTTGGGTTTGCTCAGTTATACCTCAAGTACAGAATTTACTATGAAAACATAGTAAAGACCGACCCAGACATGAATGTATTGGAGAAAAGAGACATCATTCAAATCTTTTGGAGTTAAGGATATAATCCTGAGTACATGAAAAAATTAATGCATTTTCGTCATATGACAGCTCGTCATCACCGAATAGTAACAGTTTAGTAGTTATTGGACGATTTATTGTAGAAAAGGAACGTAAACGAAATCGAGAGAAAAGACGGCAATGTAACAGATAATGATCATTAGTCTCCTCGTTTTCCATACATGAACATAAAGGACTATCAATAAGATTTCTACGGTACAAGTAAAATTTTAAAGAGCTACATTCCATTCTTAATCTAGAATGGTGAATCTGACCCATCCTGCTTCCGATATAGTAGAACAGTGGAACTTTATGTGAATAATCAAAGAGGTGATTTTTCAGTTTGAAAATTGATGGGTCATTTTTTATTTGGTCTGGCAAAGAGTTCCAGAGTACAATAACAGAAGGAAGAAATGATTTACTATATAAATTAGTACGACAGGAAATCGGGCGAAAGTTGCTGCCAACTCGGGTATTATGGTCGTGAATATGATTGTTTCGTTGTGGAAGAATATTCTGTAAGTATTGCGGAGCGAGACCGTGCACCATTTTATGAAAACAAATAATTTTGTGATATTTACGTCTTTGTTCGAGTGGCAACCAGTTCGTTTCAATATACAATTTTACTCTGCTAGTTAGTCTAGTACCCCCAGTTACAATTCTAGCTGCTTCTAATTGGAGATCTTCCAACAAGTCGGATTGGGCTTTAGTTAGACAGTCCCAAATAATGTCCCCGTACTCTAATATAGGTCGAATGAAAGAGAAATACATAGTTTGAAGACTTTTGCGATCTAAAGTAAACTTTAATTTCCGCAAGATGTTAATTTTGGAAGATAACTTGGATTTTATGTAATTAAAGTGTTCGTTCCAACCTCCATTCCCAGACAGATACAGACCAAGATGTTTATGAGAAGTAACTTCCGTAATGACAGTATTATTCATGAAAAGAGGGGGATGGGGAGGTGTAATAGATTTCTTACTTATTAAGACAGTTTCAGTTTTAGCAGGGTTGAAAGTTACCAACCACTTCTTGGACCATTCATAGACTTTATTAAGGTCGCTATTCAGTATGTCGGCGCTGGTTCTAGGAGTGTCGATAATGGTGTACAGGGAAGTATCATCAGCAAATAACTTGATGATGCATTAATATCCTTAACGATGTCATTAATAAAGATTATAAACAAGAGGGGACAAAGAATGGAGCCTTGGGGAACACCAGCTTTTACTTCTGACCAATTCGAACTTTTACCGTTAATTACAACTCTCTGATTGCGATCATAAAGGTAATTTCCAAACCAACTTAAAAGTGATCCCCGGATCCCAAAGCTGGAAAGTTTTAGAAGAAGGCCCTTATGCCATACCCGGTCGAACGCTTTACTTACATCGCAAAAGACCATTCGTATTTCCTTACCGTTGTCTAGTGCAGAATAAACATCGTGAATTATTGCAAGAAGTTGGTTGATAGGTGAATCACCATGAATAAAACCTGACTGGTGGGAGGATAGGAGAGAGTTAAATTGTAAGAAATTATAGACATGTTTATACACGCATTTTTCCATGAGTTTGCCAACTATAGATAACAGAGATATGAGCCTATAATTAGTAAGAGTAGACCTGCTTTCTTTTTTATGTACAGGGGTGACATTTGCCTTTTTCCATTCTAATGGAAATACGGCAGAATTCAAAGATCTATTAAAAAGGGTACAGAGAGGGTTGCACACGATATCTACAGATTCTTTCAGCAATCGTGGATTTATGAGATCTGGACCAACAGCTTCAGAACAATCAAGATTCATTATGGCATGTTTAACGTCAACAATAGATATGTTAAAATTAAATAAATTATTGTTACACTCGTCGATAATGTTGGGAAGGACAGCATTGGATTCGTCTATAGACGATTGGGCACAGAAGAAGTTATTAAATAGGCAAGCTTTCTCAAAGTCATCTGAGATAATAGTGCCATTGTGAAGTAGAGGTGGTATACAGAATTTTCCAGAGTTTGGTAACAGTAAATGTACAGTTTTCCACCCGTCCTTTGCATTGAGTTGTGAGGGAGAAGCAAGTTTTTTACATAGATTATTGATATATTTCACTTTAGCCTGCTTTATTGTATTAACACATTTATTACGGATATTGCGAAATTTAGACCAGTGAGCATCACTAAGACTACGTTTGGCTTTCCGATGAGTACGTTTCCGTTTCCGAATTAATTTCCGTATTTCGTTCGTCATCCAAGGAGGGTCGTCAGATCTAATCGTCACAGTTTTGTAAGGAATACACATTTTGGCGATATCAAGAAGGGTATTAGTAAAGTTTTTAACGGACACATTAAGATCTTCAACTCCAATCAAACTATTCCAATTTACAGCTTTTAGTTTCTCTCTGAACAAATTAAAATTACCATGATCATGGCTAAGTAATAGAATGGAGCGATAAGGGTAGTTCCGTACATACATTATTCCGGGAAGGGGCGATTAAATGATAGAGAACAGCAAATACGGATAACTCCGTACATACATTTCCCAAATAGCACATAGGATTTTCGAATTTGGGCCGGGGACTATAGTTCTTTACTTCACTAAATAATATTCATGGACATAACGTATATAAAGATATCCCAAAGTCATTAATAACAGCATGTCGTACATGTAAGTAGGGTAATAAGATAACAATCATACAAAATATCAATGGAACATTAATATATAACAACATAAGGGAAAATGACAACAATTTGCACCTGCATGCATCGTGCGAATATGTACAAATGTAGCGACGCGTGGGTCGCTTTGTGTCGTTTTTCCGGAATTTAGTACAACCCTGTCCGAGGAAGCGAGGAACTCTGGGAGAAAAAGTGACGTCACAGCCTCTTCCTTTGGAGGCCAAGACACGTTAGGTCGGTATTGAAATTCGGGCAGGGTAATCTGTTAGATTTTTGTGTTGTCAGCGCCCATCTCTTCCCTAAAATGTTATAAAATGGTTTACTAAACATAAGTTGCCACCTACAACCCGATATGTTTGATTTCCGACCGTGTATTTTGGTATATTTTTCGACTTATGCGGACTTAGGTTTTGGCTGGAACCTCGTGTCGTGATTGAGGGGAACGTTCGCTAGCTGTTGAAATTTTGTTAGATAGTGGATAATTCGAGAATTGGTATTCTCGGGGAGTAGTTTTCTCTCGTTGGGTGAGGCTGATTTTTTGTGCCCCCCTCGCAAAGACGAACGTAGGAGAAGGCGGTAGTGTTGAGTTGGACTTTGTAAATTTGGAGTCGGTCACGTGGCGGAGATTTGTCCGTTCGGCGAGGTTTGAGACTCGCTCCGAGGAACGGTGTCAGATTCCGTGGGCCGAGAGTTAATTTAGAATTTCGACAACCACGACATTGGTTCCTGCCTGATAGTTAGTTTAGGTAAAAGTTTGTTTATTTCAGGTGGCTTCTGTACATTGTTAGGGTTAATTAAAAACACTCACTGAGCCGGTTAAATGTCTTTCATGCTAAACTTTACTCTTGTAAAATATATGATAGATTGTTGAATCTGTTTTAATTCTTCTCGTCATTATTGCCAGTACTTGGTTGAAATTTGTTTGTGAAATCTGCAAGCGAAAGCGGCAGTCGAACCCATTGGGCACTTGTATTATTGTAACAACAGAGGTGACGCCCGCGGTGCGGCCACTAGCGGGTCGTGAGACGTCGTTCGTTACACAAATATACATAAATGCTAACAACCAAACTCATCATAGTGGTTACGTCATGCTTATGGTTGCTTAAACCACTGCCACCAACGACCAGGGGAAGTAGCTGATACTGAAGTGTGTGAAAAAAACAACAAAAAACTTACATTTACTTGTGGTAGCAGTGGTTTACTGCACTGGTCGAGGGAGGTAACCGCTGCGAGGAGTTTGGCAAACAACCACTCACATGTACATGCATACGCTCACCTGCACACAGACGCACGCTTGCACAAGCGTATGCACGCGGGTACGTGCTTACCTATATTCACCACACACTTGACACTCTATCATTAATGTATAACATAGTTAATTTAATTACAAGTTAAGATAGGTTTATATACATATGTGTAAGGTCTGTACACAGTGTCGATACAATCGACACAAGTTATGTAACTGTATATAGGTATATATAAACTGATAGCCTTGCCAATTACCGCCGCCCTGCAGCACCAACGCCTAATGGTCAACACTACTGCGACAGTCAAACACAATATAAGCACTGGTCCCTTGCGCACTTGCTACCTTGCAACGGCGCTCTACCACTTGACTAGCCACTGCGCACCAGCTGTATCTCACTTAGATACTGCACAGTATTTATTTCCTAGCCTATACCGCTCAGTCACAACTGCGTTCCAGTCATAGAAAC